ATATATATATAAAAATAAAAAAAGTCAGACCTCAGTTTTCAACCATAATCCGTTCCAGAAGGCGGTTCGAAAACCGATTTGTTCGGAAATCGAAACCACGCTCTTTAAAAAAAAAAAAAAAAAAATCTTTATTGAACACATCTGCTCACAATGAAACGCTACACGGGGAAGCGTCACTTCCTCATGTAAGGAAAGCGGGAGGAGTCAAGTGGCGCATTCAAGTGCGCTCAGTTTGGTCGAGAACCTATTTTCGGTCATAATCCGAGGCATAAAAAACTTGAAATTTTTGGTCGAAAACCGATTTGGTCGAGAACAGAGATGTTCGAAAACCAAGGTTTCACTGTATATATTTATATACACACACACACGCACACACTTGGCCGGTCACGCATGAATTAGTTTACACAAAACGCTATTCAAATACTCGACATTCAATGATACATCTTCCTTTTGTGTGCACACGCGCACCCTTTGTGGCTTCCGTTCTTGCCGAAATTTCGCCATCAGAAGGCGAGGCAAGGGAGTTACTGTTGTGGCGACGTCACTCGAGCAAAGCGCGCCTCAGCAGTCGATAGTCCGCTGCTTTCTGCTGTGCGTGCGTCAGCGTGAACATGTACGCACGCTTCACTTGATGTCTTTTGATTTCAACCAATCACTGCTGACGCAACCGATGTCACACAAGACATAGGACAACAGCTAAGCTAAGCTAGCCGAGACGACACGACACTCGAAGTCAGACGGACACGTTTTTCTGCCAATCTGTGTGTTTCCCTTTTGGGCCAAATATATTTTTTACGACAACAACTGTCTTGTCCATTGTGTCTTTTATTCGTTCCACTGTGGTTTAGCAAGTGTGTTTATAAAGAGACGAAAATCTATTTACTGTTACTAGTGTTAGTGCCTCAACATGGCTACGCTCGTGAAAGCAAAACAACGAAATCAAACGCGTGTTCGTTCAATGTTTACAACTAATATCCGGATTAATTTCAGACAAATTTTCCTCAATTTTCCGGAGACATAAGGTGGCCAAAGGAAGAGATTCAGACGACGGACGTGAAGACCCGAAAGCTCCTAACCATGCATGGAGGGTTCCATCCCAAATCCAGCACCCTGAGAATGTATGCAAGCCGAAAGGAAGGAGGCCGGGGACTAGTGAGTGTGAGAGCCACTGTCCAGGATGAAACATCCAAGCTCCATGAGTACATCAAGGAGAAGGCTCCAACAGATGACGTACTCAGTAAATGTCTCAGACAATGGGGAACAGAGGATGAGGTGCTGGAAGAGGGACCATCATGGGAGGACAAGCCCCTACACGGGATGTACCACCGGACCATAACTGAAGTGGCTGATCTCAAGAAGTCCTATCAGTGGCTAGAGAGGGCTGGCCTGAAGGACAGCACAGAGGCACTCATCCTGGCTGCTCAGGAGCAGGCCCTGAGCACCAGAGCCATCGAGGCCCAGATATACCACACCAGAGAAGACCCACGGTGTAGGTTGTGCAAAGAGGCACCTGAGACGATCCAACACACAACTGCAGGGTGCAAGATAGTTCTTAACCTGGGTTCGATCGAACCCCAGGGGTTCGGTGAGTCGGTCTCAGGGGTTCGACAGAGCCTCTGCCATGGAGGTCAAGACACACCCGACTCAACATGTCAATTCGTTATGACACGCCCACTTGGCCGTCCCTGGCTGCAGATGATCACATGACATCGCTTGTCCAATCAGTGCTGTGGGAAATTTAGCACGCTTTGTAGTCAACGTGTTACTGTCATGGTAGTACGTCGTACAATTAAAAAAAAAAAAAGTAAACTTATCTCTTGAAATTTTATTTACTTTTTTTTCTGTTTTTAATAAATGCATTTTTTAATATCTTGAATTTGTCAAAAATATATTTATTTTTCACTCATGAAGGGTTCCGTGAATGTGCATATTAACTGGTTGGGTTCGGTACCTCTAAAAAGGTTAAGAACCACTGATTTAGAGTGTTCCATTAACCTGTCATGTTTTGTAATGTGGGAAGAAACCGGAGTACCCGGAGAAAACCCACGCAGGCACGGATTGAACTCCACACAGGAATGCCGGATAAGACCCCATGACCTCTGCACTGTGAGGTGGACGTGCTAATTAGACGACCACTGTGCCACCCCGTAAGCCTTATATTGTCTTTGAAAAGAAAAACATTTGAGCCTGTCTACATTTTACAAAGACGCATTTTAAATCGCCTAAACCCAAATGGTGTTAGTTGATGTAAAAACGTTGAGAACCAAGTCACAAAACTTTAAACAAAAGTTCTGGGATAACTGTGTGGGCAGACGGTGGGCTAGGTAAATATTACTAATATTTGAGCAAACTGCTGCAACCACAATGTCTGACTTTCCACTCCCACACGGTGATTATTTCAAATCCAAGTTGGTGGATGGCGGGATTTTTGGGAGAAATCGGTTTACTTCTGACAGAGGCAGGCTATGTTCTTGTAGCCCTTTGAGCAGAGTGAAAGTAAACATGGTTCACTGGTTCCATTTCTGGATTCAAAGAGTAGACATCACACTTGTATACAAGTGGTACTTTATGCAATACAGAGTATTAGTAAAGCTATGTAACTGACTACAAACTAAAAGTGTTCCTAATGGCCTGAACTAAATTGTATATATGCTACATACTTAACGATAATAATTAGAGCTGTCAGTTTAGCGCGTTTTTATTGGCATTAATTTAAATGAATTTTCACGGGATTAAATATTTTCTTGCGAGATGAACGCGGCAACACGTCACAGCGGATGTTACGTTGCTCTATAAATAAACCAGAAACAAAACAACATGCGCACTGCACAGGTCCACGCACATTTGTTTTGCCAGCTACGGCAGCGCGAGACACCGAAAACGGATACTTAAAGAGTTTATGAATGGAAAGTTTACTTTTAAAATGTTGCCAGATTGTTCCACTGACAAGACCAAAGTTACCTGGATGTTTTGCAGTCGTAAACTGAGCTATCATCATAGCACGTCGAGTCTGAAATACCACTGAATGGCCAAGCACACAGCTGACGTGAGTACTCCGCCCCCTCGTCTCAGACAGACAGCTATGGATAATTTCAAAGCGAAGAAAATGGATGACACGACGAAGAACAAATTTGCTGAAGCAATCGCTAAATGGATGGCTTCTGCATGCAAGCCTGTCAACATTGTCCACAGCTCGACTCAAGCTGAAACTGACGCACTTGTTACTTGTTTGGAACTATTTTGTGTGGAAGGTTACAGTGTTCCGTGTCCATATAAATCAAGCGGGTGGAGCTTCTCTGTGTTCGTCTGACAGTGACGGTGCGCAGAGGCGGTGACATGACAGCGCAAGTTCAGCGATGCAGTGGTAGCGACCTAGCGAAAATAAAATGTCTCCAGTGTTGTCATCGAACCAAGTGTAGTCATCGAAATGATGTCTACACAAAACCTTTGAGAGACTTCCGCGCAAGAAGGACCAACAGAATCAACATAGCCTGACTGCTGTGTTCAAAGCAAACTTGAGAAAAACGAAGTATGCAACCATGGCTTAAATCCACTATAGGCTGACTACTAGTTTAGCTTAGATGGGCTCTGTTTTGATTACATAAAAAGAGCTGTTAAAGCAGCTGTTGTGTGACAAAATATTT